TTGTTCTCTGACCCTGTGTCTCAGGCAGAGGAAAGCAGCCTCTGGGGAAGCCACAGGAGACCCAAGGAAGGATGCAGGACTCTGTAACAAGGGCAGTATCTCCTTTGCGCCCCCTTCCCGTCCACATGTCCTGCCCCTGAACCCTGACCCTTGAAACCCCACCCCTCTCAGCTCATGTCACCTTTACAGCTGGCTTCCAAGCTGTCCACTGGGAGGCATGTTCTCGGCCCAGTGAGGAAAGGAAACAGCGTCAGTGAGCACCCCTATGACACTTCTCAGACCTTTTCATGACTTTCCCTCGCAGCAACCCCATTACGTAGGTGTTGTGCTCACTTTCCAGTTGGGAAAAAACCCCAAAGCCCAGAGATGCTAAGCTACTTGCCTAAAGCCACACAGCAAGTAAATAGCTTAGCTGGGGTTTGGACCCAGGTCTCTAGGACTACAGAGCGCACGTGGTTTGCCATGCACAAGACGGAGTGTGCCAAGCGCCAATAATCGATCTCGAAATGTCTGCACTCCTTCCCCAATGAGCAGGTGAGCCAGGATGTGGAAAGACTTGGAAATCAGTGGGAAGGAGGAGCGCTTGCCCAGAGCCTGGCAGCAGGCTTGCCAAGTGCACGACTCGTCTGGGGCTTTGCCAAGCAGGGCTGGGCTGTCTGGGCTGCTCTCCGCCGCCCTGCCCGCTCTCGCTCCCAGCACACCTGTGTGCTGACTGGCCGCGCTGGTTCCTTGTGGCGCGTCACCTCTCTGAGTCTGTTTCTGCATCTGTGAAATGAGGGAAATGGTGTGACCTCAAAGAGGATTTGTGGGGACATCTGGGTTATTGTGGTCATTTAGATAAACCAAAGGCAGGTTCTGAAATTGATGTTCCAACTCTCGGGCACCCAGGGCCTGGAGAAAGCCACCCCACTGCTCCAATTCTCGCCTGGTCCCTCGCCTGCCCACTGGAGGAATTATGCTCAGCTTTCAGCCCAAGGCACAGGGGGCCTCACTCAGCCAGCACTGCCTGCTGCCCGCTGCGGGCCAGGACTGGGGCTACAGGGAACAGGGACAGCCAGGGCCCTTGGGTTCAGTGGGCAAGTCTCTGTGCCAACCCAGGACCAAGTCTGCATAAATCCACCCACCTCCCCATTCCACCACCACCGCCAGTGCCCACCACCTTCCCCCTCATGCACAGGGCAGCGGTCTCTGGCTGACCTCTGCCTTCTCACCTCTCCCCACCCCCCCCGCCTCCCTCCATCCCTGGTCCTGGTGCTGTAGGACACCCAGCGCCTCCTTTCTGGGAAGTGGGTCTGGTGCCTCCAGGAGGGCGGTTTGGAAGGAGAGAGGGAGACAGACCAGAGGACCAAGCCGAGTCCCGTCCCTCCCGTGGCCCGCAGCAGCCAGGGGAATCTTCCTCAGACGGAAGTCCGAGCCGCTACTCTCCTGCCTGAACCCCTTCAGAAGTCCCACAGGCCCCGCAGGAGCCGGCGCCCACCTCGCCTCACCTCCAAAAAGAAAACTGTGATGGAACATGGGGTCCACTAGGCTTCTTCCGAACCCCGTTCCGGCTTCACACACGCCCCCCTGCCTAGGACCTCACCACAGAGCTGACTCCTCTGCCGCCGTCAGCCCCACGTTACACACGGGGAGGCCGGGCACTTTAGGAAGCTGCTCAGGCCAGTAAAAGGAGGGGCAGCCTGTGCTGGTCAGGAAGCATTTGGGGGACCCTTCTGGCTTCTGGAGTGCAATCACTTTGCAGACATGTGTCCTGATGTCAGGGAAAGAGCTTGCTTGCTCCTCTGAAGATGATGAAATCTGAATCCCAGCACAGAGAACTGTGGCCTCCGTTCCCACGCAGGGAGAGCACAGAGGCCTGCGCGAGGAGACGCACTCTCACGGGCCGCGCTGTGGGTCGGCTGCTGAGCTCATGCTCCAGCCCACGTCTGCAGGTGCCCAGGCCAGCCGGCTCCTGCTTCCTGCCAAGGTGGAAGCTTCTAGAACAGGGGTCCTCAAACTACAGCCCGCGGGCCACATGCAAATACAAATATTGTATTTGTTCCCGTTTTGTTTTTTTACTTCAAAATAAGATATGTGCAGTGTGCATAGGAATTTGTTCATAGTTTTTTTTTAAAACTATAGTCCAGCCCTCCAACGGTCTGAGGGACAGTGAACTGGCCCCTTGTTTAAAAAGTTTGAGGACCCCTGTTTTAGAACAACACTGCCTGGGTTCTAGGTTCTCCAGATATTGCCGGGATGCTTACCAACTATGTGTGTTAGGAAGTTACTTGACCGCTCGGTGCCTGAGCGCCATCATCTTTAAATACTGGGTTAAAGTAGCCACTTCCTCATGGGGTCCTTTTAACTATTAAAAAGGTGAAAGGACATTGTGCGTGTGTGTACGTGTGGCTCAGACAGCATCCAGCGTTTGGGAAGCACTTGACAATGGTCATTACTATTCTCTTACGGTTTTGTCCCCAGCACTTTACATACGAGGCCACTTCTGACTGTGTTCTGACCGTTGAGAGGCAGGTGTGAGCGTCCCCATTTCACGGAGGAGGAGACTGAGGCCGCCTCAGGAAGACCTTGTCATGAACGCCAGGAGTCCGGGATGTGCCCGCGGGAGGTGTTCCTTTAGGGACCTGCTCTCGGGTGGACTGGCTGCCCTTCCCGTGCAGGCCCACAATGCACTTCTCCTCCAGGCTTTGGGCAGAGTTTGGGTCCATCCGGACTGGGCGTTCAGTGGTGAATGGGCCTGTTTCCTCCTCAAGGAGAGAAGAAAGCCCTTGGAGGCAGGAGGATGGGGTGGGGTGAGGCAGAAAAGGGGGACAGAGGCCACATAACTCTGGATGACTTGCAGGTGTGTGTCAGGGGGGGGGGGCGACCACACCACAGCCCCTTCTCCTTGCAGATCTCTGAGGCTGTAGCTGTGGGCTGCAGGGTAAAGGTTTTTCCTGAAGCCTCACAAAACCTCAGGAGAACATCGCCCCTTTGTCCCAACTGTAATTATTGCTGGGCTCAAAGTCCAGCATCGCCACATACGCCTTCTCTGAGCTTGGTAACTAACCAGACTTCCCTGATCCTCACCTTCTCACCGTACACGTGAGTGCGTAACCCTGACTCCCCGGGGGAGTGTGCCTCCAGATCAGTGGTCCTCAACTCTGGCTGCACACAGGGTCACCTGGGAAGATCGAATGAACTCTGATGCCCGGGTCTAACCCCAGAGCTTCTCAGTCCATTGTCCTGGGGCGTGGCCTAGATTTCAGGATGCGCAAAAGCTCCCAGGTGATCCTATTGTGCAGCCAAACACTGGGTGCCTCTGCTATCCCTGTGCCAGGCACCCAGTCAACACTGTCCCCACTCCACGTCCGTGTGAATTCCATTTGTAAAGACCTTGTCCCTTTCTCAGTTTGGCTCTGCCACCCCCACGCACATTGTCACTTTCAAAACGGATGACTCAACCCCCGCCATGGGCCAGGCCTGCATCGAGCTCTGCTCCTCTGTTCACTGGAGAGAGCCAATTGGTTAAGATACACAATGCCCTCCCAGAGACGCCAACGAGACAATCAAACAGTCGGAATGATCCATTGTTCGCTCTTCAGCCAGGGAACTCCATCATTTGCCTCCAAATCCATCTCGTCCGGTGTGCAAAAGCTCTCCTGATAAAACCCCAGGTGCTCCTGATGGCTCTTAAACAGTAATGTTTCTCCCACCTGTGCCCATGGTATACCTCCCCCATCCCGCCACACACACACACACACACACACACACACCTGTGTATCAATGCCCACCTCCCTCCCTCATGGACTGCACCCATGTCAGGAGACGTGCCCTCACGGGCACTCATTTCCAGCCACGCCTCCCCCGAAGACTCTCCAGCAGGCGCGCTACTTCCCAGAGCCCTCCCTGCTCTGCACATGCGTGCCCCTCGCCTTAAATGCCCTTCCCTCCCATGGGCTACCTGGAAGGTTTGTACTCACCTTTAAAAGCCAAATTCAAATGTCCTCTGCAGCTTACCCCACCTGTGCC